CAGTGACATGATTCTGTAATTTTCATGCTAAAAGCCAATTTATATTAAAAGAAAACAGAACTGAAATAACTTCCTACATTTTTCTGGCAACAAAAATCTTCCTAATACATAGGAAATATGGGAAAGATACTTTACAATGCTAATTGCAGGAATATACAACAGGATTTTTTTTTAAAAAAAAAAGACTTAAAAAGGATTTTAAAGGAGTAAGGTAAAGGTAAAAGGAACCCCTGACCATTAGGTCCAGTCGTGGCCGACTCTGGGGTTGCGGTGCTCATCTCGCTTTATTGGCCAAGGAAGCCGGCGTACAGCTTCCAGGTCATGTGGCCAGCATGACTAAGCCGCTTCTGGCGAACCAGAGCAGTGCACGGAAATGCCGTTTACCTTCCCGCCGGAGCGGTACCTAATTATCCACTTGCACTTTGACGTGCTTTTGAACTGCTAGGTGGGCAGGAGCAGGGACCGAGCAACAAGAGCTCACCCCTTTGTGGGGATTCGAACCGCCAACCTTCTGATCGGCAAGCCCTAGGCTCTGTGGTTTAACCCACAGCGCTACCCGCCTCCCTTTTAAAGGAATAGTGAACTTAATTTGTGCACCACTGCAATAAGACTCCCTCCCTCCACCTCACCTTGGAGATGGGGGGAGCCATGAATCTCAACTTGCTATCTTTGTGGCCAAGCAGCATCCAGCACCCTTGAGTAAGTGTTGTGGGCTCATGGGTACTGATACCTGTGTCATATTGTGTCCACCTATCTGCCTGCCTCCTGACCTAGCCCCACCCAGTTTCTACCTTGAGCAGTGCAATGACCAATAGTGATGTTAAACACCACTGGATAGCTCAGCTGGTTAGGGCATGATGCTGATAATACCAAGGTCGCAGGTTCAATCCCCATATGAGACAACTGCATATTCCTGCATTAGATGGTCCTAAGGGTCCCTTCCAACTCTGAAATGATACCTGTTTTAGGGCCAGCCATTGAAGATTACAGGACTGCTGCTGTCCAGCACAGGCAAATTGGGGTGCAGACACTGGTGGACCTGACAGATGGCATTTGGGGGGAGGGGTCCTCAATTCTGGAGCTAGCCATGTCTTTGACACCTCTCATGAAGTAGGCATGAGGCACTGCTCTGATGGCTTTGTGGTGTGAAGTGGTCTATAAGTTTAACAATTATGACAACTTCGTCTACTACTGCGGGAACTGGCATCCTGAGGCGGTTCTCATTCCAAGATACAGGAAAATAAAACTTTAGTAAGAAAGTCTAAGTTTTGTTTTCTAAGTAAACTGGGTCAGTTTACACATTAAAATATCCATAAGTAAGTAAAATGATCAAGCAGGAAAGATCACATAAATTGACCCCTCCCAGATGTTTAGGTTATTTGAATACTTCCCCAGCTGTATGGGGGTGACACAGAAGAGGGGCAACTCCTAACTTACTTAGAAATGTGTAAAGAGCCAATAACAAGAGCCAATAACATTTAATAGCAACTTCATAATTAATAGCCTTAAATAATTACATGCTGAAGCCTGGTTTTTTCGATGATTTAGGACTGTTGTACTGGTATATCAAAATATATATATTTTTACAAACTGGCATAAGAAACGCTGTAGGTCAACCCATGCTTTGACTCCCTGTAACTCTGCATCTGATCCTTTATATAATCTTGCCAACAGTATTTACAATTATAGCTTTTTTTTTTACACAAATATGCACATCACTTAAATTTGGGGATTTGCCCATATGCAGACTGGGCATTGGTTGCAGCCAATGTAAATAATGATTAAAACAAACACACCCAAAATATTTTGAACAAATGACATAATTGGTAGCTGAATAAAAACAGCTGAATTTGGGCACAATTTCTTTCATATAAAAAGACCCTCCAAAACTAATTTAACTAATATTACTATTTTCAGCTATACATACGATATGTATTATAGGATTTTATCAACATACTGACTAAACATTTAACCTATCTTATTCTGAAAATTTAAATTTATGGTTGCAATTAGAACTTTAAGCATAGTAATGATAAAGAATAAAAGAACAAACAAACCTGATGTCTGAGATGGCTCTTTGAGGAAAACCACATGCACACACATCGAAGGACATGGAGCAATATTCTATTAAGCCTTAGCAGTCTGAGACAGCACCTCAAACTAATACCCTGCAAACCACTGCCATGTGGTAATGCTTAAAACATATTGACAGTCTTCTAAAGCTTTTTGCCTTCTCCTGTATATATCACACCATTGATTTCCCTCCCTCTTTTACTGAACAGGCATCGCTTTATAAATGATGGGCATGAGATACCGTGGGAGTCAGAGTGAACATATTTCTGCTGAAGTTCAGATGTCAGTAGCCCATAGGAAAAGTGGGTCAGGTGTTGGTTGTGTATTGTTTTCTGCTGTTTTACAAGTTAGCCCCTTCTCCGTTTTTTTTTTTTGGGGGGGGAAATGGAATTAAGTTTATGATGGTGGGTAGATGGATCTCACAGGTACAGCACTTTGCAAACTGCTCATTTCACCCTGTAAGCAAAGTCAAAAGAAGGAAATGCCTTCCTACCTTTGCTTCATAAGTTACAGGGGGGCAGCGAACACAGTTAAGCTTATTGGATGGTCACACAGCTTACTGGCTAGTCACTCCTGTGTAGCCTGGCCCACACATAGGTTAGCTGTGAATAAGGATAAAATGGTCCCTTTAGCATCTTGCACAGCCTTTCTTCATTGTAGCATACTAAGTGCTCCCAATGCATCCAGCCTAGTTAAGCAGTAAAGTGTAGTCTAGTGGAACATTGATCTAGATTTCAGAAGAATGGAAATCTATCACCTTTATATGTACTGTGGAGAGTAGACTGGTGACTGAGAGCGGCTGCTGGGACCATATAACACCCGTCCTAAAGGATTTTCACTGGCTCCCAGTACGTTTCCAAGCACAATTCAAAGTGTTGGTGCTGACCTTTAAAGCCCTAAACAGCCTCAGCCCAGTATACCTGAAGGAGCGTCTCCACCCCCATCGTTCTGCCCGGACACTGAGGTCCAGCGCCGAGGGTCTTCTGGCAGTTCCCTCACTGCGAGAAGTGAGGTTACAAGGAATCAGGCAGCGGGCCTTCTCGGTAGTAGAACACTTTCCCTTCAGATGTCAAAGACATCTGAAGACAGCCCTGTATTGGGAAGTTTTAAATGTTTGATATTTTACTTTTTTATATATGTTGTAAGCCGAGTGTCTGGGGAAACCCAGCCAGATGGGTGGGGTATTATTATTATTATTATTATTATTATTATTATTATTATTAACAACAACAACAACAACAACAACAACAAATAATGTGGAGAAATCTTAATTTTTGAAGTTGTCTTAGCTTTTTCCACTTTACTTTCTCTGCCTCTTCTTCAGGTGCAGATTTTTCCATTGTTTCCTACAAGTCTGTTTTCATGAGCATATTTTCCATTCTAAATTTCTGTTCTAAATTTTGCACAGCAAGCTCTAGGGCTTTCACAGCTTTTATATATGCTGCCATTATTTTTCTCTTTCTTGTCAGACTAGGCTGTAATGCTATTGTTGTGGAGGGTGGGGGTATATTAATAAAATCAATCCTCCTGACTGGGAATATCCCCTCACTCACCCCTCACTCATTCCAACATTCTTCAGCAAAGTTTCTTTTCTTTCAGCAAAGTAAGCGGCTCCTGTTATGTCAAATAAAATTGTAACACAATGACATCGTGTCCGAGAGAAACTACAACAACATGAGACAAGAATGACAGTTGGTCTCTCTAACTGAACTTAACTGACACCCGAAGGAAGGGGCCAATTCCAGAGCACAACACAAAAGCCCCACCCACCAGATGACAGACATTCTACTAATCAAATTAGGCCCCAGTGTTTTCCTTACAGATAAATCCTAATTTTTGAAGTTGTCTTAGTGGCCACTGGATGTCACTCTTGTTCCACAGTCCATTTTTTTTAAAAAACGTTTTCTCCCCCTGCATAGTGAGGTAAATAGACACAGTCACTCCCCGATCTTAGCAGTTCCAAATTCAGAAGCTGACATACTTGGTAGATAGCAACCATTAAGATAAATGAGACGAGATCCAAATGAATGTATGAGGACAGTCTATCCACAGTTAACATGGTTTGATTAAAGTTCATTCAAATGCGCATCTCTACCCATGAAGTCACATGGGTTAACTTATTTATGAACTCATAGAATTGTAGATTTCAAATGGACTCCAAGAGTCATCTAGTCCAACCCCCTACAATGCAGGAATCTCAGCTAAAGCATCCAGTGGTGGTGGATTGTCCTCAACACAGCACAACCCCCAGGTTTTAAATTACTGACTCTCCTCATTGTAAAGCAGGATCTAAACAGATCCCAAAAATTGTCTAAACTGAGGAAGAGCAAGAATTTTTTCATGCCTTATTCTATTTTACAGTTATTTAAATAACTGTCCTCTTGGTGGTTTTATTTTAAAACCGACTGTTCTAAAACACTTGGAACGGTTTAAAAACCACTTAGAGAAGTGAAAAGAGAAACCATCTTGGCTGAGAGTTCTGGAAGATCTTCTCCCTGCCTTGCAGGCCTTTGTCCACCTGGCCTAGGAAAGCTGGGCCCTGACTATAAAAGTTGAGGCTGCTAAACAGACACTTGACCAGAGATATTGCTGGGGAGTGTTGTTGTTGGGGGGGTGAGTGGCTTGTTGCTGTTTTTGGTATTTTTGAATGCTTATTTTGTATGTTTATTATCATTTATGTGGAAATTGTTCAGTTTGGTTGTGTGCTTTATTTTTTATTTTAATTTTATACAAATAAAATGATGTATGTATGTATGTATAAAGGCTTCAGCCTATAACTTTGAAGTGATAATCCGGTCCAGGCTTAATTTTCAAATGCCTTGAAAAATAAATAAATTTTACTTTTGTTTTCCTTTGATGGCAAGGAAAACAATAAAAGTTGAACATCATCCAGGACAGTCATCAAACTTTTCAAATGTAGGACTCACCTTTAGCTGCATCCTGCAACTTGGGATCCACTTTTCCTTTTTTATAACTGTATGTCGACCCTTCTTCCATTTCACCTCTTTCCCCCTTATTTTCCACTTCCTTCTCTCGAAATGCTTAAAAGGTGGAGATATTGCTGGTGCAATCCAACTTCAACTGGGTTCCAGCTCACTTGTTGGGAGACCAGCCCAAGACACTGATCAGCCCAGAATTTAAAGACTAATTGTAAATGCTCTGCTTCTCGCTACATGTTTTAGCCTCCTATTAAAAAGGGATATAGAGTGGTGTCCTACCAGGTCATTTTTAGCTGGTGAGGCTCATCATAATTTGATTATCCAGACTTCTTAAGTGCATTTGCTCATTTTGGGGAGTAAATTGTTTCTTAGGATATGACTTCTGAAAACGTCTCCTCAGTTTTTGAAGCATGGGCTCTCTTTTAGATTGGAGAGTAACATCTCTCAAATCAATACTGCCACACAAAGGGCTAATTCAATTTTATTATCAACTCTCTAATGTTTTGGTCTCTGGGGGCATCACAGTATAGGAAGAAATTAGCTGTGCTTAATTCAGAGAAAAGAGTAAAATAAAACAATATATATATATATATAATTATTTGTGTTGCTTGTATATATGTTTAGGGTAAACCTTTCTGGAAAATGTTTTAATTGTTGCCAGCTGAGAACTAGAACCAGCTGATGGCAATAAAGTGGTGCTGCAGTCTTGTCTTCCTTTCTCCAACTGCTGCCACATAATGTCTCACCATCAAATGCCAGATGAAACCTCAGAGAAATGTTGAGGTTTTAGCTTAGGTGTGGGTTTCTTTAAGCTTCAGCTTCTTCGCAGCAATGGGCTTGCTTTGTGGGAGAGCGGGAAATAACCTTGCTGAGAGAAGATGGCTCCCTCCATCTCCATTTTGTTCTTATATCTTGAGAACTAGCCCTTTTGCCCTTCAACCTTGTACCTCATAAGGAAAAAAAGGGGAGAGGCTACTGCCATTTCTCTTCATGTAACACAGCAATGAAATTTTAGAGGGTCCAAATGTATTCTTACACTTAATCCCAGAATTCTGGGACCTTTCCCCATACTTCACTAGTACGCAGAGGGTCCCCCCTGAAATATTAACTCTGATCAGCTCTATTGCTTGCTTATTCTTCTCAAAAAACAGTAGTCCTCATTAATGATATTCAGTGCTATTTTTCTAGAAAAAGAGGTGCTGGAAATCACTTGTTCTCTTATAAAAGCAATGGCACCCACCTGAGAGGTGCTAGAACTGAGTTCCAGCAAGTTCTGGCTGGGAGGGGGGGAAAGGCCTGGTGCTATTCAACTCATCTCATGCGCATAGATGGAATTGGGACCTTCTTGCTTCAGGAAGAAGGTCCCAATAGTGATGAACTATCCTTCCCCTGTGTGCCTGCTCTGCCTGTGTGAGGCACTGAAAGGAAAGGGCAGGCCTGAGCACACTGCTGCTAATATCACTGAGGTAAAAAAGGATGGAAAAACAAGAGAGGCCTCAGAGAACACTTTTCAGTGTCCAGCCCCATCACAGTCTTTCTTGGCATTTGTGGGCTCTAGCTGTTGCTGCAGGATGATGTTTTATAACTGCTGCAAGACAATGGACCAGGGATAGAGTGTAAACTCTGCTCCCTGTCCCACATGGAAACTTTGAACACACTTGTGAGTTTAGGCAGCTGAGAGGTGCTGAACCTTGGGTGGACCCCATTTATCTCCTGATCCCTCCCAAACCCAAAAGCAAAGAACTCATCCAGTGAAGAAACAACTGTAGTAAGGGAATACATGTATCCAGACAATGGTGCTAACTAGCTTCTTTTGCTTTGGTACACAGGCTGTGTTACGATTCTGTCAAGCCCCATGAAGCTCCATCAGGAGTGGAAAGCAGCCTCTCCTCAGAAACATCCTTTCCTTCAGGCTTTGGGGCCTGGACACACCAAGACCCATCCTGAAAGTGTCTTGCTCCGTCTTGCAAGTGAAATAGGCTGTTGAAATTGAATTCAGTGTGGCAACAGATCAGAAACAAGCCATGCTAGAAGCCTGTTAACCATATAGGCTGCTAAGGAGTAATTCGTCCAGGAAATCTTTCCAGGATTTCATAAATAAAGACTTTCAAACCAGGAACCACTGGAGAATGTTGCATTTCAGCTTTTCTGAAGATTGTTTGTTAAAGCTCAATGTGTTTTACAAGCTAAACCTATGCAGTCATGAGTACACAATGCTGCATTTTATGTAGCTTACTCCTATAACTGCAGTCATGCCACATGGTTGATCAAGAATGTGAACCCTGCCTGCCAAATTCCACCATGCTATCTGTATAACCACCCTTTGCCAGCTCGCTAGTCTACGACTGTCAGCAGATCCTATTAAAAAGTACTATGAACGGTTCCTCTTGCTGCTCTGGAGTAGAAAGAGCTCCATTAGGCACCTCTTTGCTCCTCCAAGTCCAATGGCCAGTCAGTCATACTGGTGGTGCCAGAACCGAGTTCTTGCCAGCCTTCTGCCATCACTGATTTGATGATTTGATAAATTTATTGTCATTGTCCGTATATACACAGTATACACAACAACGAAAATCAAACACCCACCCAAAGACCGGGTTCACATACACATTTGCACGTATCTCCAACACTCTCATCCTATTCAGACATAATCTATAAAAACATAACATAATCCAGAATATAACATAACCTATTAAAGGCACAACATAACCTAAAACCTATCTCATTCCTTCCTACTCCCTGCTTGCTATTTCTTGCCTTGCAACTGGCCCTGAGATCATTATTTAGTGCAATCAGAGCTCTTGGATAGAAACTATTCAGAAGGCGTGTGGTTCGTGTTTTCATTGTCCTATATCTTCTGCCCGAAGGCAACAGTTCAAAGAAGTTGTGAGCAGGATGGGTGGGATCTCTCAGGATATTGTGTGACTTCTTCAAAGTGCGAGACGTGAAGATCTCATCCAGGGTTGGTAGTTGGAGCCCAATAACATTCTGGGCAATTTTAATTATTCTCTGTAAAGCTTTTTTATCCGTTTCAGAGCTGCTCCCATACCACGATAATATACTATAGGTTAAGACACTCTCGATGGTACTGTGATAATAGGACAGAACTAGGTGCTAAGATAGATTCAGTCCCCTGAGCATTCTCAGGAAATACAACCTCCCCTGCACCTTCCTCACAACCATATTAATATTTGCAGTCCACGAGAGGTCCTCAGAGATATAAATGCCCAGGTATTTAAAACTACCAACCCTCTCCACCTCCTCGCCATTTATGTGCAATGGTAAAAATACAGTTTTCTTTCTCCTAAAGTCAATTATGAGTTCTTTGGTTTTTTTGGTGTTAAGCATAAGATTGTTTTCTTTACACCATTGAATTAACCCCTGTACTTCTTTCCTATAAGCAGTCTCATCGTTCTCACGATGAGAACGATGAGTGGCAATTCTACTTAAACACTAGGAAGCAGCTCACTGCATAAATGAGCTCGCATAATGAGCACTGCATAAATGATCACTCGCAAAAGGCAAGGCAAAAGAGGCAAAGAGGGAGAAATGGCAACCTTTTAACATGAGGCATACCCAGAATAAATTCCTGTGGCAAAGCACTGCTAACTATTTTACTTACCCAACATAAATACTTCTTAAAGGGACCAGCTGCAGGAGCATCAGAAATCTAGGCTGTCAGAACACTGGCTGTGGGGCCTTCTTCCTTGCTGGGAGCACACATTTGTAGAGGGGAGAGTCTAAGTCCTATACAAAGAATGTAGTCCCATCATATCAGAGAAAGTGCAAAAAGAGCAGATACAAGCAGGTACTCTCTGGCTAGTAAGGGAGATGGTTTTGTGGAGCTCTTATTATTAGTGTCAAGCATTTTTCTAAATACATATTTAGCATTTGCTGGGGAAGCCACGTGATTTCATTGTGTAATTTCTGACCGAGTGCAGCAAACTGTAGGCCATCAAGCACAATTCCTAAAACAAAATAAGGTTTGAAGATCTAGTACTGTGTGTAATCCTGTTTCCACACGATTACCTACCTACGTTAGGAAATCACAAGTTTATTGCCTAATACGATTAGCAGGTTTTGGTCAATTTGATATTGCTGGGACTAAAAACAGTCAATGGAAATTAGTTTCTTACTAATCTTGCTGTTTTTAAGTGGCACTGAAATTGTCCTCATCAATTCGTCATTTAGCTGCAGCCTCATTTATGCAGTGAGCTGCTTCCTAGTGTTTAAGTAGAATTGCCACTCTGAAACCAGTGGCTTATCTAGCACAGTACCTTGTGCCTAGCATCACAAAATCCAGCACCATTACAAAATGGAATAATTGGAAATGTCACCTTAAATGTCTGACTTGTATCAGACACTGCTTTCCATAATAAAATACATAAAAGTAAGCAATTGTCCCCCATTGTCCCAAGAGAAAGAAACATGTTATTATATTCCTCCAGCCACATTCACTAGCGTTCACTTCTCCCTAGGACCTGCCTGTGCTTTGCCCTAAAGTGCCAAATGAGGGCCAGGATGTAAATGATATCTGTCAAAAACTGAGCAAAGAAGCATAGACTTCAGAAACATCTATAGGTCAGAGCACTCTGCCCAGTCAATTAACATTATCCTAGTCTATTAGTCTGCATAGTTGCTGCATTGTCTATACTGGTCATATATGTAGTCTCAAAATAATGTAGTGTCATTCTACAGCAATAATTGCCAAATGGCATGTATGATGTCAGAAAATTGCAGGAGCCGATAAACACTACAAGTAACAGATGAAGAAGCACAAGAGCCCAGGGAAGCTTTCAGCATGCTGACATACTCCAAGTCCCTAAAGTATACATAAAAACATGCCAATGCCTACTCTCCTCCCTCCACAGCAGTTCACTAAGCCTGACTGTTCATGTAAAATAGACCTCTATGATTCACAAACATACAGTTCATTTGCAACCAAAGTAGCCATAAATAAAACTTTTTTATTCTTTGATGTAATTTACAAGCTACCAGGTACCATGTATTTTACAATGGTCACTTTAAAATTGATGCAGTCACAGAATGGCCCAGACTGAACAGAAAGCTGTTGTTGATGAAGTGAAGGATCGTAAGACATAAGCAAAGTAATACTGTAACAGGTAGGTGGCAAAAAGCAGATTTGCCGTAATAAATCAGACTTGTAATGTTGCATGAGTTCTGGCTGATAACAAAAACTGAGTGTCATGCGATTCTCAGCTTTATTGCCTGCAGTCTGGCTAATGTCTGTACAGTCCTCTTTCTTTCCTTGCGATTTATTAAAATGGAAAAGTTAAAAACTATAGCAGCAACAAGCAAACCCTGTGACAGGAAGGCAAGGGTTAAATAACTAAAAACAGTTTATACAGTGTGCTTAAGGAAGGTCTTCAGAGTTTATCTTCCGTCAGCTGGAGTTCGACTGAGTGATGACATGATTCGGGCAAATCGTTCGCACAGTTCATGGGTGGAATATGAAGGTAACTTTGGTGGGTCGTTGAAACCTTTAATTTCTGTAGAACAATCTAGCAATTTTGGCAGGAAGTCTGTCAGCTTT